GTGTTCCCTTTTGTCTTCGGATTAAGGGTATTTTTTCCCTCATTTGTTCTGGGTGAGCTAGATAACACATCCAGGTTTGTGAAATGGCATAGCTGAACTTGGGTTCACTGCATACTAAATAAACAAGCACTGTAAATGGCAGTGTTGGGCAGTAACTTGTTACTAGTAACTTAGTTACTGTAATAATATTACTTTTTGCAGTAACTAGTAGTGTAACTAATTACGAATACGATTTCAGTAATAATATTACAGTTACCATCCATAAAACATCTTAGTTACTTTTGATGTCTCAACCCTGATTTAAAATCCAACAATCAAATAATTCTTAGATTTATTTTCATAATTTGCACAACTCGCACATGCATGTGATGTCCCCAGTGCAGCAGGCAAGCTTGGAATATGGAATATGGAAGCTTACATTCAGCAGATAGAAATATTAATGCATTATATTAACTTTGTCAGGAAAAAAGATGATCTGAACACTGTTGTGTAAGTTGTGGCTTTACTTTACTCTGGCATTATATTACTATAATTAAAAATATTTTTGGAAAATTAAACAGCTTCTTACAAACGTATGTGATTTGATAAAATACATAATGAAGTATAATCGTATATGGGTAACAGAGAAATTACAATTAGCTACACAAAAAGCTACACATGACAATTAATGAGATTAATATAATCACTATTGAGTGTTTGTAATAACGTCTGACTGCGATCCAATGGATTTTGGTCAAATGATGAGGCAGAAATGTGTTGTTAGTAACATTCTAGAGGAATTTTATGTCAAAGATACACAGTAACTATTTCTGTGGGGGCGTGAAGAAAAAGTTGTAGTGTAACTAATTACTGTTGCCAGAAAGTAATAAGTAAAGTAACAATATTACCTTTGAAAGGAGTAACTAGTAATGAGTAATATATTACATTCTTTGAGTAACTAGCCCAACACTGGTAAATGGTAACAAAAACGCTGTGATATCATGCCATGTCATTATAAAGTGGCTATAATCCATTTTCTCTGGCCTATCTGCATTTTATACTAGTGATCTTTCATTTTAAGATGTAAAATTAGCATATTATTAAGTGTTTAATAACAATTTGAATTATTCTTCAGCCCCACCAACAATCTTCCCATCATTCACACGACTTACCTCTGAAAGTAGTGCAGGCAGAAGGTCCAGAGCATCAGGTGTCTCCCAGTGCCATTGTTTCCATCCGTGGTCAGCATCAAAATCAGGGGTACCAGCAGAGCGGGAAGCTCCTGGAGGAACCAGGCGAGCCTTGCAGGCACCATCATGGTGCTGCCCGAGGTGTCCACGTAGCGGCCATAGGCAGCGTGAGACTTCATTAGACATATAAAGTGCATTACCCCACCCAAGATCATCGCCACGCTCAGGCCCCGCACGAGGAGCTCCTGGCAATGCATGGAGGTTGACATTCTGTCCAGTTCCAGACCAGGTTTGGGTGAATCTAATGCTGTATCTCCCCTTTTAACCCCTCACCAGAGTTCTGCAAACACAGCGCCTATAGAGCAGCTCCTCCCCAAAAGCAGAGGGAGAGCCGAATCCTGTGCTACAGCTTGCACCCTTCTGAAATGTGAGAATGCCTTTTTCAAAGAGATTTCCCTTTTGACATATTGAGATTTTTTTCCCCACTAATGCACTGGTGGGGAGCATCAGCTTTCATGACAAATTGGTCTAAAAACACAAGCATGTCTGTTTTTTGTGCAACTCGGCGAGCCTTGGCTTTTTTTGGCCACCTAAGGAGCATGCTGATGTTTACCTGCATGATTCTGTGAATTTATGTTTGGACAGGTGAACAGAGAAATTAGTTTCTCAGTATTTTACGAGAGCAGTAATCCAGTCTTTCTTTCATCAACCTGTTTACACAAATCAAAGCATGAGAAACTAGGAGAAAGGGCTAATTCTTTTGTGTATCATCATATTTCCGTAAGGCAAATGGGTGGTTTTTTCTTTTATGCTTGTTTTGGTACAAATATTAATACTTTTCTAAAGGCAATCTCCTCTCAGACTGTAAAAAATAAAGATATTTCAGGCACCATTTGGGTTTCCTTACATTTCCACACTGGCAGAACCATTTGGGGAAACTTTAGGCACATTTTGAAGGTTCCTCAAATGTGCACTAAAGGAACTTCACAGTTAAATATCTTTAGTTATTATATATTATTTAATATTAATATTGAGATAACAGTACTTAAGTTTTTTTTTTTTATTAATATTTATAAAATATACATTTTATGTGTACTTATGTGTTCCATCTTGTGAGTTTCTCAGATAACGACCCTTTTCAAAAAGAGGTTCACCAGGAGGTTTCTTCAGGTTTATTTCCCTAAACACTTTGGCATAATCAAGTTCAGACAATTTACAAATTGCGGGAAAAGTATTTCCAAATCATACATCCATAAGGTTATTATTGTATGAGGAATTCAGTAGACTTTCAGAAAAGCATGTTTCTACGTCTATAGCTCACAACAGGTTGTTTCCTGCAATTAAGGGAGCACCTGCTGAGAATGCTGATGAATGCATGAGTGCTGTGTTTGTAGAGAACTTCATCAAACAGCAGGAAGTATTTCCCCTTGCACCATTTATCCATATTACCAATAACCGTTCAGTGTTTGTCCCCGGTAAAAAGCAGTCACTCAATAAAAGTCACTTAAAACAACAGGGGGCTCAAAAAATCCCAGTCTTCCAATTATGTTTCCAAGGAAACTCTTAAAAGAATACAATTTTACAGCCTGACTACTGATAAATTGATGTATAAAAATAACCCTTTACCATTATTTCAATTTAAAAAAGCAGCAGTGAATATTAAGCTACTTAATTTTGATTGACATTGTTTTCTAAAAGCATATTTACCTGCTCTGCAAAAATTAAAACAATTAACAAGTAGACCAGCATTTGAATTTCAAAACAGATGAACCCAATTAACGAGTTTCCCATTTTGTTTCAGAACATGATGTAAGTTTGGGACCAACACTGCAGTCATTTCTGGAGTAGAAACTTGCAGTCACCACAGCTGACACCTCTGTCCAAACGAATTCTCAACAATGTTCACGTCACTTGAATGTGTTCACTGCAACCTGAAATGGCTCAGGAGATTTGAAATGTCAACGCTGCTAAAGAGAATAGATTGAAGAAGTGATATTTGTTGAGCTGGGCCAATTAATGGGAACCACCATCTCTTGTTCCGTCTTGAAAAAAAAACTTAAATATGTGAAAGTTTTAATACAGGATAAATTCTAATCACAAATCAAATTTCAAAGAAGGGTCAAAGAAAAGGAAAAATAATCAGAAAAAGTGAAAAACAATTGTATGAGCTGTAGTTTGAAGGTACTAGTTACACAAAACAAACGCCACCTAATACCTGAAAAAAATTAATGGCACATAAAACAAGTATTAATTTCCTCAGCCCCTGCTTCAGTCAAAATCATAAAAATCTACATCCATAAGGGGCCTGGGATTGTTTTATGACCTTTGATAGCTACAGCAGTCAACATCCAACTAAATAAATAAACCAAGAATAAATAGGAAGTTTTCACCCCACAGGAATTTTGCTGCATAGCACACAAAATTAAAAGGTAACTGGTCTGCCATGCATGCTCTTCCTATTTAGAATACATGCACGATAATGTGACGATTGCATGAGGCTGGCTAAGCAGTGCATGTCAGGTCTGCTTTCAATATAAAAGTACGTCTGCAAAATCAATTCAGGAAAAGTATTTCATATGTGTCCGCTTTTGTTAATTTAAGCCTTCACACTACCATTCAAAGGTGTGGGGGTTGGTAAGATTTTTTTTGTTTTTGAAATAAGTTTCTAATGCTCACCACTTTGTTGCATTTATTTGATCAAAAATACAGTGAAAAAATAAATTTTTGCAATTACTTGTCAAGACCGGTTAAGAATGGTTACATTTGCAGATATGTTGCAAAAATGCAAAATTCCTATATCCTCAATGACTGGGAAACATGTTGAGGATTGCTTTTACTGCCCAAAAGACCTTTCAACTTACATATTTTGCTTACTACATCATAGGATGTTGTTTAAACCCACATATTCATGATTCCGCAATCCTTCAATTAGAAAAGAAATGGCAGAGAGACTACATCTTGGGAGAGAAGCACAAGACTCGTGTTGTAAAACATAGCATTTTTAATTAATCTTGGCAAACTCCGACTCCAATAACTCACCAACTGCTCGTAAACATGTCACAAACACAGGAATCGCAAACAATAACACAAAAAAACACAGCACAGTAACGTTTGTCATTACAATTTATTGTTTCTTTGCAACATCAGCCATGACCCTTGTCATATCTGGCGAGAATTCTGTAATGCTTCAATGTAACCTGAGATTCAAAAATGACTCCGTTAAGGAGTGCTTCAATTAATTTCGACATAGGTTTGACAACGTGTGAACGGTTCATTTCTACGCAATAATAGTTAGAATAATAATAAACAGTACTAAAATAAAATAAAAAATTGAAACAATTCTAACAGTACAAGAACAGGTGTTGTGCTGTGTGAAACCGATGAATCTCTTCCCCTACATTGAAAACGGCGAAAACTGATTCAACACAGACGAAATCAAGTCTTTTTAGTGGGTAAATGAAGGGTGGGGACAAGGGTGGATAGCACAGGACCAAAAAAAAAAAAACATGTTTAACACTGACCCAAGGCACATCTGCATGGTGTGACATGCTTTGTCTGTTTTCTGTTTGAGGATTTGGTTTGAGACATTCAAACCTTGATGGGGATGTACAGGAGCCTTGCCGTTTTCCTTCCGATGGTTACCCAGGAAAAATCTTGCTGCATTGTGCTCTTTGGGAGTAGATGAGGGGGGCATTAATAAAAGCTCTGAGAAAGTTAAGTGCTAGGCTAATTACCATGCTTACAGACTAGCCATTATTTGCATTATTTGCATTATTTTGCTTTTGCTTTATTGAGTCGACAGCGGTTTGCTAAATATAATGTCCAGGGGGAAATTAATGAAGTCGTTCATATGAAGGTACTTACATTTAGAAGAACGCCGATGGGATGGCGACCACAAATAGTATTATGATATTTCTTCAAATAATTGCTAAAGGAGATGGGGTCCAACTGTTCTATAATTCCCATTCCCTAAAAAAAAAGAAATTAACATGCATACATTTCACTGACATCAACAAAGCTTTCCCATTATTGGCGTTAATAATGATGTCATTTTTATTTTTGTTTTATTTATGACTCTAATGTTGCATTTGACATCTGGTGTAGTTTAATTGCACAGCACAACATCTTGATATAAAATATTAAACTTTCCAAAAGCAAGATGGATTTTCAGTAACACAATAATGAATGGATATTTCATAGAAGGAGCTCCAGATCAAACGCGATCCTTGTCCATTAAATTACCCTACAGAGGCAAAAGTACTTTGCCCAGTTGGTAAGCCTTTAATGAGGTTTGGGTTGCTAAGAACATCTGCTATTTGACAGACTGTCATGGGTGGAAAGTATTAAAGCTGTTCTTTGAATCGCCGACTTCCATGGCACAGTAACCATAACAATGACTCTTTAGCTTGGAGAAAAATTCCATCACCTTTTTTTTCTAGAACCACCGATAGGATTAGCACATTGTGAATCCCAAACCAGAATGGGCTACTTGCATGTAAACCTCATATGTCAAGACATAAAGCGAGTTACCAGAAGAAACGGGGGATAGAAACAGGTTTACCATTTTGTCAAGGTGCTCGATAGATCTGTAGATCTCCCCTTGACTTTCATCGAAGTAGGTGTAACGGAAACGTTGACCTGCAGAATAGACAAAACAGGTTCAACTTAATCAATTAACCAGAGGAGGCACATAAAAATCAAAAGGGCTATTTGGATGGGTTCCTACCTATTTAGAGCATTCCAAAACACCCCCTTATGAGGTTTATTTCAATTAGAATGCTGCCATTGAAGTCAGCTGCCTATGTAGGCAGCCTGTGTTTTTGGCAAGTCTAGCACATTGATGGAGAGTGTGAGAGTGGAGAGAATGTCTGTGATGCCGAAGGGAAAGCATGTATATCTTCTTTACCAGATTCATAATGCTTTCGATATCATTAATTTGAGTGACACTTGATTTAGAATGGTTCACAACTATTTTTTTTTATTTGCATAATTCCAAGTAAAGTATCAAACCAATGCCATGCCTTTACACTACGATTACTGGAAATTATAGAGAGAAAGAGAGACGGAGATATTTTTCATTTGTTCTCTAAGGCCTTGGCAATTATATATAGTTTGTGTTAAGTGTTTTTTGTATTATATGCATAAATATGCACACACTGTTACGTGTATATAGGAAAATTGATGCATACTGAATAAAAAGTTAATGACAAAAAAAAAAACTGATGTTAAGCATTCAAAAACTACCGAAAGTCATGTGATTAATCAACAAATCCAAAGTGTTGACTAGTGTCAGAACTAAACCACTAATCGGTGCAAACCCTAGTAGATTTACTGTTGACAAGATCATGTCAGCACTACATCTCATTTCAACAAACAGGAAATTCTTCACCGATTACTAGCTATAATTGATACTAACTATTTTCCGTTTTTTTGACAGTTGAAAAATTTAAGTGTGCGAGTGGACACAAACCCCAGTGGCAGAAGTCAGAGGAGATGATGAAAAGATTAGAAGGGTCAGCCAGGTATTTGCTAAGCAGCTTGCCATATTCCTGCTCTTTAGATTCACTCAGAGCTCCCACCAGCACAGGGACGATGCTGAACTCATCTTTATGGCTGTTTTTGAAAAACAATGCACAAAACAGAATCATTTGTCAATTCCCAGATGGAGATTTGACATTTGCATGTTTATAAATATTCTAAATTGTCAAAGTAGTTTGCATCACTCATTAAAATCCATGCCCATGTCAAATCAATAGCTCGACAAAGGTTTTCATTTTCCCAAATTGCAGAGGTGTGAGAATAAAATGTGGTAATATTTAGAAATATTATAGTTGCTCAGCAACTAATTGGTTTGCTTGTGAAAAAAAATTACCCAGATGTCTAATCAAACAAATTGAGAGGATGTTCACTTTTCTATGCCCACATATTGTAATATTTTAATGGAATAATAGAAGCGGTTGGTGGCTCCTGCATTAATAAAAAAAAAAAAAAAAACATACATAAAAAAATAAAATACAACAAAAACAACAGAACATCCATCACGGCAAACTAATTAGAGGCACCACACTAGGTAAACAGATCCTGACAACATAATTAGTGGATCTGGCAGAGATGAATGAGCATGAGAGTGCGACTATGGGTCAATAACGCTGCTCATGACCTCGGCATAGAGATGAGGTGAAACCTTGATATATCCTTCTTCCTTCTCTTTACATTTTTTCCCTGTGCAGACTCTGTCCTACACAAGGATGTGTATGTCTTATAGAGAGACTACATAAGATAAGAGGAAACCACAAAGGGCTATATCATATATCCTTTTGCTATAGTGCAACACTGACACAAGGTTAAAAAGCAAAAGATAAGACTTTGCAAGCAACACCTATGATCTTGGTTCCTTCAGAGAAGCCACTTGCATTTGCGCTTTATTTCCTAAATAAAAGTTATATAAACTAAAGTTTAAAAATTGTAGGTCTCGTCTGTAAGATTTTATGTTTTTGAAAGAAGTCTCTAATGCTCACCAAGGTTACATTTACTAAGAAACAGTACTTAAAAACAGTAATACTGTGAAATATTATTATAATTAAGAATAACTGTTATTTGAGTACCACAATTCATTCCTGTTATGACCAAGCTGAATTTTCAGCAGCCATTTCTCCAGTCATTCATGTCACATGATCCTTCCGAAATCATGCTAATATCCTGATTAAGTGCTCAAACATTTATTATAAATGTTTAAAAAAAATAAAACTTTTACTATTTTAGTGGCTTTTTCAAGATTCTTTGAATACAGTTAAAAAAGTATTTATTTGAAATATAGATTTTTGTAACAATGTATAAGTCTTTACTGTCATGTTTAATCAATTTAAATATTAAATTCTAAGTATTAACTTTTTTTTTTTTTTTTAAAGAAAGAAAAAAAAGACCCCAAACTTTTTAATGGTATTGTTTTTTTTTAATGGTTCAAGCATAGAGTCTTCCCAGAATCCAAGGTATTCAGTGGATAGAGCTTGATGTCCCAAACCTGTATGAATGATTTTCTACAGTGGAACACAAGAATGCTTTTGATATTTTGAAGAACTTTTTTTGTGCACATAATGGAAGACAATAGGGTGCAAAACAACACTGATTCACCTTTGACTTTCACTGTATGGAGAGAAAAAAAAACACTGAGATGTTTTGTAAAGTATCTACAAAAAAGAGAGTCATACAGGTTTAACAACAACATTATGTTGAGTAAATGATTACAGAATTTCCATGTCTGGGTGAACTGTTCCCTTAACGGTCAAGATGTAGATATTCATTATCTGGTTGTTACCTCTCCATGGCTTTAGCGGTATAAGGCAGGTGCATCTCAATGCTGTGTTCGTCTTCATCTGTCTGCAGACTCATCCGTTCAAACATGCCTGTTTTCCACAGATCAGCGTAAACTGCCAGAGAAAGAGATGGGGCAGTGGGAATTAAAGCCCTTGTGTTTTGCACTGAAGAGTTATAATTATAATTACACAAAACCTCATTAATATGAACACCATCAAATAAAAGATCATCTCTCATATTTCTTTGTTGCACATTCATTATGTTTATAGCCAGAACACTATGAAATAATAACAAATTTAGTCATTTACAATTTGAATACTTTGCAATCTCTTCTGCAAAGCTCAGTTTGAGAGCAAATGAGCCAGACATAAAAAACAATCTGGGCGACACCTTTCTGTGCATTGTAATTCAATCAGCATTTAATCCTGCCAAGGGAGAAAATGAGATTCCTTACCCTTCTGGTCGATCCTCAGGTCGTACAGTGGCGTTCTGTAGACCTCGGCGGGGGAGAGGGCACAGCGAGACAGCGGCACATGGTGAGAGGGGCCAAGAATGAACACCCTCCGACTGATGAATAAGAGAGCGCTGCAGTTACCTCTCTCCCCAAGGCACACTCAATATTACGGCTACTTCAAGAGAATTTAAAGAAGCTCAGGAGAGACACTTACGTGATGGAGGGGTCCACCTGCTTGTAGGCGTGGGCGGCACACGCGCCACAGTACGTGTAGCCAGCATGCCTGCAAAAGACAGTGGTTTAAGAATGCAGAAAGACAGCTGAAACAGAAGAAGAAGAAAAAAAAGATGTTTGTCTGCTTTCACTCCACATACGGTGCTATTATGGCTCTAGCTGGACCGGCTGTAGGTTGTGCTTGAGATAACCAGCCCTCGAGTTGTGCGTTAAGCTGGGATCCTAATCGCAAAGACAGAGAAAAATATAATTAGCAAATATGAGAAATGCAGACATAATTTTACAACTTTGGCACTTCAGCTGGGAAGATTATTTGAATGTCTTCCAAATGTAGTTTGTACTGTATAATTTTCGCTACGTAAAAAAATATTTTAGAGCATTACAAGTCACGTATTGAAGTACAAAGTACAAAAACCATATTCATTATATATTTCTGCAATATTTACAGAAATCAAGAAAATGAAGCCTATTTTAGAGTAATGATTTTTATGGATTATTTTCAGGACAAATATTGTGTAAAATAAATGTTCATGTAGACTCAAAAGAATACATTTTCTCTTTAGCAGTTTTAAAAACAGCACTTTGAATATGTAGGCCTATTTAATTGGTATTAAGCACATTTTCCTCAATTTCTATTGGCAGAATGCAAAACAAAAAAATCGTATTACTGTAATGCTGACAAAAATAAATATTTATTCATTGTAGCATCACCTCAGTAACCGCAACATGCTAAAAGATCTTATAATGAAGAATTCATCTGTGGATTTCTCTTCTAAATATACAGGTGCATCTCAATAAATTAGAATGTCATGGAAAAGTTCATTTATTTCAGTAATTCAACTCAAATTGTGAAACTCATGTATTAAATAAATTCAGTGCACACAGACTGAAGTAGTTTAAGTCTTTGGTTCTTTTAATTGTGATGATTTTGGCTCACATTTAACAAAAACCCACCAATCTCAACAAATTAGAATATGGTGACATGCCAATCAGCTAATCAACTCAAAACACCTGCAAAGGTTCCTGAGCCTTCAAAATTATTTCTCAGTTTGGTTCACTAGGCAACACAATCATGGGGAAGACTGCTGATCTGACAGTTGTCCAGAAGACAATCATTGACACCCTTCACAAGGAGGGTAAGCCACAAACATTCATTGCCAAAGAAGCTGGCTGTTCACAGAGTGCTGTATCCAAGCATGTTAACAGAAAGTTGAGTGGAAGGAAAAAGGTTAGAAGAAAAAGATGCACAACCAACTTTATTGGTCTTATGAAATATTCTAATTTGTTGAGATAGTGAATTGGTGGGTTTTTGTTAAATGTGAGCCAAAATCATCACAATTAAAATAACCAAAGACTTAAACTACTTCAGTCTGTGTGCATTGAATTTATTTAATACACAAGTTTCACAATTTGAGTTGAATTACTGAAATAAATTAACTGTTCCACGACATTCTAATTTATTGAGATGCACCTGTAAATCAGTCAAACAAACAATGAAACAATAGGTGAAATGGCTGTCTTGAATATTTCAGCCTCAGACAGTGCCATTGTCCCAGTTCTAATGACTTTCTTATCAGAGTCTGACAGGACAAGATAACAGTTTTGAGAACCAGTGAACAGATGAACTTCAGCTGATTCTGAAAAAGGAATAATAAGAATACAACCAATTTGGTCAAGTTTTAGCAGTTGTTAATCAAATCTCTACACTAATGAATCATACCATTACATCACTAATGATATTCCAAAGAGCAGTCAGGTGAGACATGGTCAATATATGAGTCTAATATATGAAGAATACCAATATAGCAGTATATCAAATCTAATATTATATATATATATATATATATATATATATATATAAATATATATATATATATATATATATATAT